ATTTATTACTTCATGAAATGTCTGTAGTAGGCTATTTCTAGAAGCCTTTACTTGGCTACTATCTGAAAAACTTGAAAAAACTAAAAAAAAAAACTATTTGATTTGTATTTTTGAGTAATATATGTATTTATCATTTAGCTTGTAAGTAATACTTGGAGTGTTTACTTGCCTTCAGTAAGCTTGAGAATGGTTTATTACATTAGTTTATTATTTTTTGCTTTCGTATTAGTGGCAGTTTCTAGCTTCAAAGAAAAATCATTTTTCTAACATCTTTGAGGCAATCGTTTTTATGGGTCCAAAATCACCTTGGGTGTGCATTATTTTCTAATAATTCAACGGCCCGTCATCAATTATTCCTTACATAATGTAATTTATTGTAATTAATGTAACTATAAATGCATTCAAAAATAAAACAGGTGTGAGTTGGCTGTGACTTATTAGTCACTTAGTACTTCAAGCAGTACTTCAGCCAATTAAATTTACCATTATTTGTTTTATTTTTCAAGTAATATTTTTTAGTTCAAAACATTGATAAATATAAATATTTTTCATTATGAGCTAAACTAAGACATATTTGTTTTGACTGTTTCTCCTTTAATGGTTCAAACAGACTTGACTCGGACTCGATTGATTAAAGACTCGGACTCGAACCCAACACTACCGTTTACACCGAATCTCGCCGAAATTTCGGTGCTTCCCTAATTAGAAGTTTTAATCAGATTTGTTGTCCGGCCGGGCAAGTAAAATTCTCTTCTTTCACTTGCCCTTTCAAAAAACCCACTTGTCCCAGACAAGAATTAATGTCAAGCTCTGTTACTGTATATAAAATTTAGCCCGACAAAGTGGCTAGTGGGAGTGACCTTGTTACCCACCCACTGCTGAAATCCTCCCGCATTTGGCAGGTGTTAATGTCAAGCCCCAAACAAATTTATTATTTCATTTTATAACATCATCAAATATTTTTTAAATCAAATACTGTATGCTTACCATGTTCTCGACCCGCAGCTCAAATGGCATCGGATTATAGACCATCAACTGCACCTCACACACGTCGCCCTGCACCCACTGGAAATCTGCAACACACACACACACACATAAATGAAAAGCAGCACACTGTATAAATGCATAAAGAACGAAAAGCATTAAGCTCTTAAATATAAGATGATTCATTGATGTTGACAGGCCTGATCAATATGCTTGCATGCACTGCTCTATAAATGACGACCAAAATCAAACCCATGACCTTGGTGTTCCTAGCACTACGGTTGCTACCAGTTAAGCAACAGGAACACTATATGATTCTCTTCAGCTGAATTTTGCTCTATGTTTCTGAGCAAATCCTCCAGAGCTGGAAGCTAGTGAACTGGAGTTACTGCACTGAGCTTTTCCATTAATCCAGAGACAGAGTCTGATACTGATTAAGCGTTTCCAAACAATGGCCCCTCGTTCCCTCGGGAGGAGATATATTCACTGTATTATCTACAGTATGCTCGCAGATTTCACGCTCAAATTAACCAGAGCCCCGTCTCACACTAATAATCATCCGCCGCTGAAGGCCATATGGAGTTTAGAACACATGAATTATTTTCAAAGAATGAAAACCAACTGTATCTATTCTTGTCCATCGCCTCTAAAATATGGTTATTGTTGACATTTCTCATCAATTCCATGAATCTGGAGCTAAAAAGAAATGGTTTTCATTGTGAAATGCCTAATTTGCTGGTGAGTTTAAATAAAAATAAAGAAAAAATTACTTGAATAAACAGATCAAATTATTTGGGGGTTGAATTTCTAACAAAAATAACTATATAACAGAGACAGACAGCTATTTTTTCACACAGCTGTTTTTTCACACAGTTATTTTAATTTTATTTTTACAGACAGACAAACAGAAATAAATCAAATAAAATAAAAAAAGCAGGGAGTTCATTTTGTACATTATTCAGGTTTTTCCACACAGCTACTTACCAAATACCTAAATAATGATGAACATGAAATATTGAAATAATTTATGCAAGAAGAAAGTGATATTGATAGGAATAAGCTGTGATATGTAAAATAAACAAGTAAATAAATTGCAAATTAAACAAGAAAATAAATTTAAAATAAAGATGTAAATGAATAAAAGTGCATAAATGAATGAAAGCAAATAAGAGTAAACATATAAAATGAGAAAATAAAACAAATTAATTACCAATCAAGTATGTAAAGGTAAGCAAATGAAAGTAAATAAAATAAAAATAAAATAAATAAATACATAAACAAGTACATAAAAGTAAATAAATGTAAATAAAAGTAAATCCGAAATTTAAATAAACAAGTAACACTAAATAAAATAAAAAATAAGTTAAATAAATTAATCAAACAAGTACATAAAAGTTAATAAATAATAGTCAAAATAAAAAGGTAAATAAAAAAATTAATAATAAATAAATAAAAGAGAGAGAGAGAGAGAGAGAGAGAGAGAGAGAGAGAGAGTAATAGCCACCCCTTTATTCCCTTTAAAGAAACCCCTTTAGTTTAGGGCAAATAGTTTCAAGTGTCTTCAAATCGTCATGGATTTTCTCTTCCAAACACTGTATTTTTCCATTTCCATCAGGAATCTAATAATCCATTACAAACTGGTACATAAATCCAGCGTGAACGCACTGTTGGGCTACACTGAACTGACACAGAGTAAACGCCAGGCTTCACTCCTGAGGGAAATTAAAGCAGGGTTGAAAAAGGAGCTTCTTTAATATAGATGCTATGAAGCCCGGTGTGGGAGACAGTTTTCCATGTGATTAATGCATCAGAAGACAGCACAGACCTCTGAAATGATGAGAAGGGAACAGGACAGGCCAGGCCAGGCCAATTAAATGTAATATCCCCCTTAAGGGAGAAGCCCACGAGGCGGTTTAAGCATTTCATTTGAGCTGGATGCCATACAAAGGCCCTGTGGCTCTGCTTATGGAGACCAGAGGATGAGAACACAGACAAATCCACCTGCTGAGTCTGAAATCTGGCAGTTTAGGTCAACATGCAACAGCCATCGCAATTCATTTTACCTCAGTACTGTGTCATAAAAATAAAGAGTTAAAGGCTTTTTTACCTTTGCTTAATATTAACCTATAGTTTGTTCGGACTGGGCAAAATCATCTGAAAAGGAAAACTTTTTGTTGGCTCAAGGGTTCAGTTTAATCAGCAGCAGGATAAATCAAATATTTACTTGAACTCACTAAATAATGTAAAATTGGGAAAAGAAAAAACAAGTGAACTTGTGATAGATATATGAGATGGGGGTTTGTTAAGCTCTTCTATGCCACGTACAGAGAAACAGTGAAGAAGAAAGAAATCCCTCCTCAAAGAAACTCAAATTATCACCTCAGTTTCTAGAGCTATCTTCACACAAGGACCTAAAGGAGACACTGACTTGAAGCTGTATGATACATTATAACATGAAACATACATGGAACTGGAGTGGAAGGGAGATGGAGGAGAGATATTAATAAATTACATATAAAGAGATATCAATAAATTATGGGCACTACTGTTTAAAAGTTTGGGGCCAGTAAGATTTTTTTTTTTAAAAGGTCTCGTATGCTAACCAAGAAACTTAATTAAATAATTTATTAATTTTATTTCATTTCATTGTGACTTTTTAAATCTCACAATTTGGATTTTTTTTTCTTGAAATTCAGTTTTTATCAAACAATTCTCAGAATTTGCAAGATATAAATGCACATAAATGCATAACTGTGAGATATAAACACAGAATTGTGAGATGTAAATGCAAAATTGTGAGATATAAATACACAATTCTGAGATATAAATGCAGAATTATGAGATATAAACATAACTGTGAGATATAAACAGAATTGTGAGGTATAAACAGAACTGTGAGATATAAATGCAGAATTGTGAGATATAAATAGAATTGTGAGATATAAATAGAATTGTGAGATATAAATAGAATTGTGAGATATAAATAGAATTGTGAGATATAAATAGAATTGTGAGATATAAATAGAATTGTGAGATATAAATAGAATTGTGAGATATAAAT